GCACAAATAGAAACACATCACTCAACATGAAAAATGGTAAGAATAACATACCTAAGAGGCAAGAAGGCCTTGGTTAAAAAAATAGTGACATTTAATAATTAGTGTGATAGTTCCTTTCAGTCACTTTCTATTCACCTGGTGACATTAAAGTTGTCACCTTCAGTGGAGTCTTCATCTCAGTTCATGTACATATGCACCATTATAACTACAGAGAAATGTAATATTCCTACCAATAATATGAAACACATTACACTCATCTGTGTTGTATTATAAACCATGATGATGGACATTTATGATATAACATTAATAAAACCATTATCTATTTTTGGTGTTTATTTTTAGACTCTCAATATTTATATTGTCTGCTGGCTTTGATTTGGAAATAGGTATTAACAGGTATTGTCATATTAATGTTATAATTTCTTAAGAAAAATACTGACAGTCTGAGATAATGCAGTTCAGTACCTTAATTAGTGAATAAATAATTTGTACCTTCTCAACCCAGCCAGTTTTATAATTCATCCTCCTTTTTTAAAGAGCTCTGGCTTGTCATCTTATAATAGTATGACTCATATTTAAAATGGTATTTAAAGTTTTCTGTTGTTGAACATCTGCTCATGTGCAGAAAATTGAGAGCATATTTACATACCAGAATAACATGTCAATGCTCTATTGTCACTACAGAATTATATTAAGTGTAGTTGACTCGATACCGATCTGGTTTCAGACACAATAATCTTAGGTATAAAACTCTTTCAGGGAATAAAAATAATTAGTTTCAGATCTTAAAATTAATTAAATACATTACTTTTTTACATATCTTAGAAGAAACTACTATGATGCTGATGCAATTTATGTTAATGATAAGAATTTATAATAATGTATAGAAGTGTTACTCATACACCATTTTTACCGTACTAATGATAAAGGTGTAAGATATAGCATTTCCCTAGGTATGCCTTTATGCAAGTTCAGTAAAGAACGTCAAAGATATCTAATAATTTGAGTTTACATATGGTAGAAACAGGTGTTATTATCATTTTCACTTTATAATGCATTGAAACACCTCAGCACTTTTAAACTCACATACTCATATAGACAACAGAACTGTTATAGTAAATGGTGACTGGACTGACCATACAATCAATTTAATTTGTTCAGCAGCCTCAGGAGAAATGTGTTTTGTATATTTCATAAAAGAAAACAATGACAATTGTACATTATCTTTAGCAGACTTTGTGGGTGAGGTATTGTGTATATGAGCCTTCAGGATCAAGAAGAAGTTCACAACTTTGTAATTTTCTCTTTTGTTAGTGCCCATAATTTTTTTTACTCCAATGACTGTACTTTCATGGAATCCATAAACACCCACACTAAGGCAACAGTTTCTACTGAAGATCAACAAACTCATGCAAAGGCAACACATAGTCACTGTACCTCAAATGTAATCTGCCTTTATATTGCAGACTAAACAGAACTTCATATTGAATAAAAGGATAAGTGGGTGAGGAGAAAAGGAAAATATAACAGAGGATTTGGTATGACTATAGTCTTTTTAACTAGAATTTGCAGCTGAATTGAATTGTGCTCTTTGTGAGTGATCAATCAACACAGGGGAAGTCTGTTCAGCAGCTGTGTGATAGAAGCATCAGTATCAAAACTGCATTGTTGCAAGTTTGTACTTTTTCCTTGCATAGTGATCTAACCTCATTCTCTGATGGAGAAGAAAGGCATGGATTTACATAGCCCAGCTCATGAATTAATATATAATATTCATGAGTACCTGATTCTCTGCATGCAAATACATGTAATAAAATAATTCACATTCACTGGAAATCAGTATTCCACAGTGCTACAATTGGCACCATCGTATGTTCTATGGTACCATACTTCCTCCCCCTTTCCTCCTCTCTTTTCTTTCCTTCCATCAAAGCCAGAGTACATGTGACTGGTGCAAGTCTCAACCACCAATTCTAGTGAAAACCATTACATTTATCTAAATTAGTTTTCAAACATCCTGTATTCATTGGCAACAATAATTTGAAGTCTTCCTCAGATTATAATGAAAAGTTCTTATAATTAACTTGAGTCAAAATTTGCCTCCCATATACCCACATAAGTCCACTTGGCAGTAAATATATGTTAACAAGGGGAATTGTTTCCTCTATAACCACTGCATTTTAGACAGAACTGCAAAGATAATAACTTTCATCTTTAATTTTCGTCGTGTATTTATCAGCATTAGTTCTGAAACTAACATTCACACTTTGCATTTTGCACTTGGTGTTTGGTGGACACAGTTTTTTATTAAAGACAATTCAGTTTAATAAATTATTTGATTTAATTATGTTGATTTTGTAGTATTGTATTAGACACCTCTTCCCATGGAATTGTTCATCACTCTTCGAGTTTGTTCTTTTAAAAGTTAGAAAGAAGGCAGAAGACATGTTAAAACATACAGTCATAAAACTTAAAGTATTTTTTCTAACAGGCTTTCTTTGTGTTTTCTTTCATGACTCAATAAGGACATCACTCCTAAACCAATGCTTCCATTATGCCCAGTACTGCAGTTTTCTGTCCAGTTTACAGAAAACCTCCAGAATTTCAGTCTTCATTCCCATGCACAATCTCTGTAATAATTCCACATAACAACCCCATATGCATAAATTATATTAAAACAAGATAAATATAACGACATTACTGAAGTACATTTACAGTATGCGAAGGATGGTGGAGGTAATAACTATGTAAAGAATACAAAGAAACTATTGACAGCCTAACATCAAGGTGTCCCATTTTGACAAAAACCAAATACATAATAGTAATAACATAATAAGACACTATAAAGTCTGTATATAGCTACATTACTCAATATGCAAAGACACTAGGCACTAATACAAGAGAAAACTGTTACTCACACATACCCAAGTCAGTGTGTGCACGTAAATATATAACTGTGCTTTGGAATCAAAGGGATACAAACTATGAAATATAAAATGCTGTCAAACTAGTAATCACTGGGACCATGGAAATTGTAACTAAATGACTAAAAGCATTTGGAAACAATAATATCTTAAACTTAAAGACCAGGTGGTAAGGTTCACCATTGGTTTCAGAGGAGAAGTACCAGGAAAATGAAAAATCTATGGTAAAAGATGATGATGATAATTGCAGAATAATAATAATGTTTATAATATTCTTTCATATACAGATATTAATATAATCATAGTGGGATCCACAAAATTCATTCCATTATTTGAACAATAATTCAGTTCCATATTCTGAACTTTGGAGGGATTCTAAACATATGATACACAGAACACAGAAAAATGTAAATTGTAAGGCCATGTTGTCCTCCTCCTGTGTATTTTATGTTGTCTGAAATTCGTAACAAATGCACTGGTGGCAGTTGAAGACTTTGGTATAAGAAGTGATGAAAGGAAATGTATAAACAATACTATAGCACCACTTACTTATACTGAACTAAGCAGAGTTGTTTCATTAAATAACGCAAACATTTGGAAAATAACTGTCCAGATAGGGCCTATTCTCCAGGCACAGCTTGAGAAAAGTCCAACAAAGTTAATCTAAAAACTAAACAAAAGAACTTAAGAAGAGCTACAAATAGAAGAAGTGTGAGGGAATGTAGGAGAAGTGTTGTGAGTTGACTAACTGCCTCTGTTATAACAAATACACACTCCTGTTCTCACCATCAAGGAAGATTACGTCAAACTTTTCTTTTGTATGTTTGCTTCTGGTGTGATTTTTGAACAAATCTCTACTGATTGCTTACACACAGATCAAAATTGTTGAATGATCATATACATTTCATAGAGACAGCAACAAATAGGTGGATTATCAGCCTTCCTACCTCACATGGAGAAACTGATACTGCAAGATGGAGTGAATACATTCAAACAAAACCTTCTGAATTACCAGAACTTCACCCAATTCAAATGAAATATAAGTGACACAACAGAAATTGTTTTTGTTAACTTTGAAAACTCAGGTAAAATTATTTTTGTCATAATATAAATTATAATCAAAGTGATCAATGACAATCATTATCTGAAACAGTATGCAGTCAGATACAGTTTATAACCATTAAAGTCTTTGTCACACTTTTTAGTACAAATTTATTTGAAATTCTCTTATCATAAATAAGACAAGTAGGCTATATACAATAGCAAGTATTTTAGTTACAAACATGGCTTGATGTACATTTTGTATTTCAGATAACATTAGGAACAAAATTATTTACTTTCTAAAATTACCATAGTGGTGGGTATGAAAGCAATTTTGGCAGAACAACTTATTAAGTAAATACTTTGTTCCAACAAATGTTTTAATCTTTAAAGTTATCCATGTGTCCAATGAATAAACCACATATGCAAGTAGGAGGAGTGCAGGTAAAATTGCACACATTTCACAACCAGAAACTAATAGCCAAGGAGCTGGGTGTAGTCATCCTATATGTCAAGGGCAGTTTGGAGAAATTTAGACACACTTGAAAGTGGTACAATAAAAGGACAGTGTTCATAACAAGGCAAGCCCTAAGTGTTAAAAGAACTAGATCACACAAGGAACTCCAGGATATGAAGCAATGCATCTACAGTATTCCTTATGAAGGTAGTAAGCATTATATCAGAGAAACAGACACTACTTGGCATATGGATTTTAGAACATATGAACAACACAAAACAAGAAGAAATCCAGGTTAGCTAATCATGCCTGTAAGGAAGTCCATTTAATAATCTGGAATAAATCTAATGCTGTACAAACAGAAGACAACAACATTCGCAGAAAGTATAAGGGAGCAGCTCACATGGCATGCATCATAAACCCAGTCAACTGAGATTTGGAAATCTCTCCCATTTGTATTCTTCTGGTTTGTGAGGAAGTCGGCGCAGTTCGCTACATAAACTTGATTCTTCTCAGTACATTTTTATGTCGTGAATTGGTATCAGCCTCATTGAACTTTATCGATCCTTAATCGATTTGTCTTCCCATTTCTCTCTTCTGATGTCTTTTCTTGTTTTGTTTTAATCTTACCCTATATTAACATAGTAGATTTTAGTTCTCACTTCTACTTATTTTATATTGTCGCATATAAATACATTTGTCTTGGGAGTGTCTTACAGATGGATTTGGTTTCTATCTATATCTCTACCTTGCAGATGATTGTCATTGATTGCAGTTTCTGTTCTGGGACTACAATGTTATAGTTATCTAGGTCTGAGGATAACTCATCCAGGGGGGCCGCTGTGATTTTATTTATAATTTATACAATGAACAAAGTCCTGGGAAGTGATTTTACAGTATTTCCAGTATCTGCTGTAATAGGTTTTATTTGTGTTGAGGCATTATGTTTGATGTTTCTGCTAGCAGTGTGAATCTCTGCACACCTCACATGAATGGAAGTGTGTCCAGCTCTTTTACCTTTCAGGATCAACAATTTGTGATTTTGCTGGCAGAAAATCTCAACATCACATTTACCTCCATAGACACCCAGAGTACTAGCACAAATAGCGTGTAGATATCTGGATGTGGTCACAAAGAAAACAATCCCTTCCCATGGTATGAGGTAACCAATTAAGTTCATGTTGTGTTATTAAACAATTTATAACCATTTAATGTATTTTAATTTCACAAAAATGGAAGCAGTGAAGCTTTCCTCATAACAAAGCACCACTTTATAGAACATTTTCTTAATCATGTACATGCTATGGTGATTGATAAGATCTGTTATGCACTGAATCTTACACCAAGGCAAAGTGAAAGCATCTTACACCTCCATTACTTGTTTTAAATTGTGAGAATGTTAAAAGAAATTTAATATAATTATCCAGCTTTCATCTCAGTCATATATCATTGTATAATTTAGGAAAACATCATTTTTTAAATGAAGATGATAAAATATCCAAACATAACTCCTCCAAGACCCATAATATACTGCACTTATCTTACATATTCAGGCCTCTTACTACCAGTAATTTGAGAAATCATTTTCCCTGCTGCCATGAGAGTGACATTACTACGTTAATATCTCCACCCACTAAACCTTGAGAGATGCTACTATAATTAAGCAAGTATTTGCTTATAAAGCATTGGGACATAGATATTCTGAATGCCTGAAGAAAAGATGGAAAGAAAAACTACATACAGAACATTTTAAGTACACACAATTAGTCTGCATCCTGCATAGTCCAAGATGGCAGTAATGCTTCCCTTTATTTCTCAAGTCAGTAACTGTGATGACATCCTTGTCAGAGATTTTCATCGTACAGATGCAAGAAGGTAAGTACAGTCTGTCTACTGGTCTCTGGTGTTTTCTGTCACCTAAAGGCGGCTGTTTACCTATATTTTCTGTTATTCATTAATCTATAAATACAAAATCTGTTGATCAACATACAGTTCATGTTAACATATACCAATGCTTGTCTGGTTAAGAAGTTAATTTTATGAAGTGTTATTATGTATTAATGTGTCAGGGTTTTAGTTAAAAACATACTGTATTTCTTAATGGATCCTCTATATTAAAACTTTCCTTTACATATCCAGTATTGAACATAATTCCAGAACCAATCAGCATACAGAAATTAAGCAAATTATCTCCCTGATGAAGAAGGCAGTAAGCACCTTTGAAATGTCAGTAAACTTCTACCAGACTACATGGTGCTACAACCCAGAAGAAAGGCATATTCAGAAATTGAATAAATTTCAAAACTGGATAATAAAATACAATCATAAAATGGTACAGTGGAAATAAAACACAACAAAGTCATAACATTTGTCACATCCAACTGTTAAAAATAAAGAACTCCGCAATTGTTTTAAATTTCTTACATTTGCCAGCATGGTATTAATACTTTCATCAACAGGGATGTCTTTGTGATAACAAGATGGAAAAATTCTCTCACAAGAAAGTAAACCTTGTCTAATCCTATTACCAGAAGCCTAGCCTTTGTTTACAAGAATGTAGGTCTGCTGGAAACAAGAGCATGCATGACGGTGTAAAAGGTTCATGAGGAATGTTTCCTCCAAGTGAAATGTTGATCATAGCTAGAGGGAAACTCAAATAAGTCCTAAAGTATCTACTGAGAATGTTCACATGAAATTTATATAGTCCTTTTAAAACAGATTATTAAATTCATGATACATTTTCCTAGATTACTCACCTCGATAGTAGACCAGTTGGAAATATTTTATATTACCATTTCATGGAGGCAGGGAAAAAGTTTGAACTTATTAAAAACTGCATTTTGGTTATATGATAGCAACCTTTAAAATAAACTCATTACTGATTGTTGTTTAATGGTTATAGAGTTCACTGTTTAGTGGACAATTCCAAAAACGTTCAGTTTTCTCATTTTGGAATTTATATTACATTTCCCTGTTGCTTGCTGATGTAATGTGAATTCACAATACATACACACCAGTTACCAGGATAACACAGTCCACCATATCCTGCACTGTCATGATTTGGCACCTTGCAATTTTAAAATATTCAAGAGGGTACAGGAAACACTCAAATAACATCTCTCCCTTAATCACTGTCACTGTCACAAGCCCATACTATTATCAGTATTTGCAGTTTGTATTATCAGTTATAGTATAAGATTAAGATGGATAATTTTAATAGGCATTAAGTACAAGACATATTCAGTCCAAAGAATAGAAAAATTTTCAGCATTTAAAGTTAAAGACCACCTAAAATTTTACACAGTGGAAAATAATTTATATGCATATTTTATAGTAACTGTTACATTAGCAAGCCCATAGAATAGACATTTGTATTCTGCAGAAGTGACTCACACAATGTATGTTGAGATGAAATTTTTTTCCCACATGTCCTCAGAAAGCTGCTGAATAAATGTGGAGTCATAAAAAGTGAGAGTACAACTGTGAAGTTTAGGAAACCAGAGATTTTAGTGTGGAAGAACAAGGGAACTTTAAAACTGAAACTTTTCTCAGTTATTTCTCAGCAGTAAGGATTACAGCAACAGGATTATAACAATTTTACACATATGTATTCTTTTATGCATGCACTTCTCAAAAAAGGAAGGGTAAGAGTTGTAAATTAAGTGCTGCTGGAAAATATGATAGTTAGCTAGGACCAAATATTCCCTGAAACAATTAGTTTTCTCTTTGAGTACTTGGTAAGTGGATAAAGTGTATTTTTTGAATACACAGCTTGTATATTTAAATTTAAGACTAATTCCTTTAGACAACTTTTTGCACAATGATATATCACATAAGTAATTAAAAATTATTTGCTAGGTATTGACCAGGACTCAATGTAATCTTGCACTCATTGAGCTATCAAGTTGAACATAAACACTTAATTAGAAGGAAAATACACATCAGCTAAATATTGAAGGATTGACTATAGGTGGAGGCTCTAAGTGTAAGTGTAAGTAGTGATTTCTGATTTACCAAGCAAGGAAACTGAGTGATGAGCATAGTGGACCAGAACTTCATATAAGGCAACTGTTTACAGAAAATAAAGTTAATTCTAAAATTGGATGTCAATGGTTTTCTTCACCTAAGTTTTACCAACTTAACCTTTATCATATGAGAATAGGTGATAGTGGTAGTAGTATTACGAGCCTACTTGCCAGACTTTAATTTTTGGGTTAACGATTTGGTAAAATGCCAGAACAACACACAGCCAAATGGATCATGTGTAAGATGCACTGCATTGACAGTAAAGGTTAATTAACTCAGGAAATGCTGAAATGCATCTGGCTCATACATACCTGAAGTCCCCTGTCTGTATGATTGTGAATCCACTGCTTCTATGTGCATACTTGCAGTTCACTTTGTAGTCACTTGCTTGGTCTTCTGAAACCGTAACACAAGGAAAACTGCTGTGAGACATTGCATATAACATGCAATTTTATTTTTGGTAAGAGACAAAGATATTATTTAATTGCAAATTATAAAAGTTAAGTAAATACCTGGAGTAGGATTTACATAAATTAAACCCTCTGTGCCTCTTAGCTATATTGCTAACTAAGAAATATGAATAATAACAAAATTTCTTTTACATACATGTGTGCGTGTGTTTTTGTGTGTGTGTAGTTTGAAGAGTAGTGATTTCTATAATGTATTTGATTTTTAAAAATATTGTTAAAAAGCAATGTGCTGGTAATAAAAACTTCCTGCACCTACCCTAGGACAGTGGTTCTGTGTCCACACATCACATGTTCACATTCTGACAGCATCTGATGCCGTCCCCACCAACTCTGCTCTGTTGGACAGTATCAGAAGCTATTCTCATCAAGTGACCAAAACTGGACATATCTTGATTACATGACACAGGTTGAAGCCAGCCATTACTTTTTCATTAATTTCTTCATCTGCAAGCTCTGTGGAATCTTTCTGCAGTGTCACAAAAATAAGGTTTTTCGTTACTGCAGCTGCAAAGTATGATTCTAGTCTCCACAACATTAATACTTTTAAAAGAATTGCAGAACAGGCAAAGTTCAGGACAGGGATCAATATGTGAATGTTGTAGAAGAAAGGTATGTGTTGGATTGTTTTACCTCAAATACTGTGCAGACCTGTATGTCATATCCAGTAATAGTAGTGGTAAAGTAATATACTCAAACCTCCAGTTCTATGTACTGCAGATTTATAAGTTTATTTGGACTAGCACTGAAAACAAAAGCTTTAAAAAAAAAAAGGTACATGAAAATGTTGGTGACTAACTTAAACTAATTTATAAATTCAATTTCAGAATGTATACACTCCAGTTCTTTCCACACTAGTCTCTTCTAAACCAGATTTCTTCTGGATATAGAATGTTAAATCACATCCCCCTCCCCTCTAAAAATAAATAAGGGGGAGATGATTTTGCCAGTAGTCTACATTTCAGGCATTTGCAGTCTGTACAGATATTTTCTGTATTAATGTACCTAACTGGTAAGAATAGCTTCTGGACTGTGACTGGAACAACAGAAAGAACTTGCATAATTCAGTCTGAGGTGGCAGCAGATTTGCTTACAAAAGTATGAAACACTGACATTTTCATTCAGCTGTACTGAAATAAATTGTTCATTTCTGTCATGTCTCTCAGAAAATGAATATCGTCCAATCCAAAGAACAGGTAATCTGTCCTGCAAGAAACAATTCAAGTGTCAGTTGTATATTCTGAGATCCAATTTTATGACTACACAATTAATTGTCTATGCTAGTAACACTTTTATGTGGAAGAATACTCAGGGAGCAACAATATTTATAAAAAGAGCACCTATATTAGCAGACTAATAAAAAATCTGTTTTGAAAACAAGAACCTTCACCACGTAGCACCTGCAACAAAATTCATTGCAAACTGTATTCCATCATGCATGAGCCACTGGCATATTAGAAGTACAGTGTATTTTATCATCAGACAACATACAACTAAAAAATAATCATCTTACTGGCACTTCTTATTCTTTTAATTGTTTGGTTTTACAGTACTCATATTATAGGTATGATGATGAAATATGACATGTTTCAACCTTATTCCATCATCTTTCTGTCAATAACTTGAACTGTAACTAAACTGCTATAGTGACATGCAATATGGAGTCAATTCTGAAATTTTTAATTCACAAATATAGATGTTAAGAAATCTTTCACCTTTTAAAATCATGATATCAAGAGTAAAATGGTGTATAACAATGTATTGTTAAAATATATTGTTTTCTAATTGGTAAATTGCTGCTGCTGCTGCATCATTCTGTGGACCAACATTTGTGTCAACCATAACTGCAAAGTCTGGTGGATTTTGTTGGAGTAAACTCCTATAGTATCAGTATTACAGCCCTGCTGAGGTGATATCTTTTACATGTCCACCATATCTGACATTAAGGATTGTTCTGTTTGGCCAGCTTATCTTCCTGGACAGTTTTGGTGAACTCCACCACTATTGAACAGATCTTTTTTCTTTCTGGTCTTTTGGGATACAGATGTGTCTCTAATGTATTCCTGGTGGAAAAGGTTATGTGTATATGTTGATCACTGAACAGTTTGGTTAAAAACTTTGTTTCCCTACCAACGTAAGTGACTGTAGACCATTTTTTATTGTTATTGTTCCATTTGGTTAGGGCTTCGGGTGTCACTGTATACATTTTATTTGATCATGTATGTTAAGTTGGCAGTATTTATTAATTTTAGGCATATTTACTATTTTTCATATATCAGCGGTTTTATTGTGTACTGTTTGGGATAGTCTGCTAATAAAGTAGTTCACACCTGACATTTTTTGTTCTGCAAGGTGACAAAAACTACTGTGAATCAATATGTTTGTGGCTGTTGGTTTTCTGTAGACAACAAATTGCATGCAGTCCTGCATCCTTTTGATGTTTATATCTAGAAAATTTATTGTTCAGTTACAGTCCATCTACACAGCAATTTTTTATTAGAATTTCAATGTTTATTAAGATCCACTACATGTTTTGACTTTAACTGTGCATCTTCAGGTGCTTCTCAAAATTAATGGATATGACTGCTAATATTTTCTGTTGTGGATTTCACCACATAATGGACTATATCTTAAGCAGCTTCCCTATTTAAGCAAAGTGGACTATGTAGATGTAGTTACTGGTGGAAAACTGTAGTTGAACTCTAACATACAATACTTGCCTTATATATTTAATGTTTATGACTTTGTAAAGTGAACAGAACTTAAGTGTATAGATATTGCACCCCACATAAAGCTATGATCTGTTGACATTACCTACATGTATTTTAATGCCCCTAAAGCCGTGTCAGGTGACATGGCTGGTAGCCTAAGAAAACCATACATTTTAACACTACATTGTTATACACCATTTCATTCTTGATACTATGATTTTAAAAGGTTAAAGGTTTTTTAATATTCTACATTTGTAAATTTAAAGTTGTAGAATTGACTCCATATTGCATGTTACTGTAGTTCTGTTAAGATTCAAGTTATTGACCTCAAGTAAAGATTTTTCTGGATATTTTCCACCGTCTAATAAATAAAATCATAAAATCCACGACGTTTCGGAGATGGGACTTTTGCCATGTCCGGAGATAGGGATTAGCTCTATCGATTGGGCCCAGCTGAGTATGTCTACCTGAAGACGGAGATAGAGTCCCATCTCCGAAATGTAGTGGATTTTATTTATTAGACGATGGAAAATATCCAGAAAACTCTTTACTTCAACAATGCACCATCGTCACAAACTTTTAGAATTGAGCTATTAACCTGAAGATGATCGGATCAAATAAGGTCAAAACTGTCGAATTATATCATCATGGCTACAATATAAGCATTGAATTATTAAACAATTACAAGAATAAGCAGTCCAAGAATATGATGATTTTTGAGTTGTGTATTGACTGATGAAAATACATTGTAATTATAAAAAAATGCAACAGGATGCTCTCTTATAAGTTACAATGGCATATTTGTGATATAATATGAATTTTGACTGATTTGAAAGAGAGCAGAGTAGCAGGAACAGTATCTTATTGCTATGTGGCCTCATGTTCCAGGCTGATGTCAATTGTCTGAACACGACTGCTATCACGAGGCACGAGTTCCAGTTTCTCTGGCTCTGCATCTGGCATGATGACACACATGAAACTCTTCCCAGTCAGGACATCCCGTGGGTACACTGTGACAGGTGTGAAGCGCTCAGTTGACCCATCCACATAGGCACACAGCCGCTTGTATACATCAGGAAAATGCCGCCGCAAACTCACACCTCTCTGACGCAGATGTCTCTGGATGTTTATGAAGCTAATCTCACGCGCTCGCTGTGGTGCCATCTGACCTTGACAACCAGGTAGGGAAGTTAGGATCAATGTCTCTGGGTTTTCTGAGTCCCTGGTAATGTTGCAAGGTGAGGCATAGCTCTGAGGGCCACTAGTAGCTTGAGGTGGTGCTGTGGACGTCAGGGACCGGCAGAGACGCAGTTTGGTGCATCTGGACACAAGCTGTCGTTCCCACTTGACAGCACCTGATGTTGGCACTTCACTGACCACACACACTGCCACATAAAGCACAAATCGTGTGTCTGGGTTGTAAGATTTGCAGAGCCGCAAAAGCTCTGAGTACAGATCAGCACCCATCTCACCAGGCAATAGGTCTGCCCAACCCACAAAGGCAGGTTCCCCAAGATCAACAAATCCATTAGCAACAAAACGTTCAGCTAGCTCAGGGCTGGAGAAGAAACTCTTGACAGCACCACGCCCTTGGGCAAGATAGCCACGTCTGGCAAGTACAGACAGATGGCGCAAAGTGACAGGGTCCTCACGAACTGTTGTTAGCACTTGGTGGCATAGTGCACCAACACGGGAGTGGAGGCACGTCTTGCGGTGACGCTCCCAGTGCGACCGACGGCACTCCCGGGAACAGTACACATGCGAACAATTGTGGCATGTCTTGAATGTCATCCGCGCTTCAGCGATGCTGGCTGTGCGGCCACACTTGGAGTAGCGGCAGCGCACAACTGACTCAATGGGCTGTTGATGCTGGCCACCACCACAGGAAGTGGTCATGTCGAAGGACACTCGCCTCCCACTGCCCTCGCTCCTCCGGCGAAGAGTGTCGGATACATAGTAGGGGGGTGGGTCCGGAGCAGCCGGCAGCCCGCCACTAGCTGACCCTGTGGGCACCGCCCGCGTCCATAACATATCGCGGTACAAGTGCACATGTGGTGTGCCATTCTTACTCAACCTTGTGGATGAATATGAAAAGCACACTTTATCTTGGTCTCTGGGTCCCTCAATCTGCACAACAAATCGTAATAACGCTTGCAGACAAGTTAATCGCGGCTTTTACTAAATAATTTCTACTACAAAATAAGTCTGATAGGTGTCCAACGTGAACATAATTTTTTTCAGTATGGGACTAACAAATTTTAAAACACCGTCAATATGCAAATGATAAGAATATTGAAGCCTAACATCCTCCCTGATAGAAGAATAAGTCATGGCAAAAAATGTCATGTTCTTTAAGAATACAATCATCAGATTTCACTAAGACGCAGCTATTGCAACATACACACTGTCATGTATTTAATTCTACATGCAAGAAAATGTTTACATTGCTTGTTTCATAAAGCTTCAAACATTACACAGTACTGAAACTTCACTCTCCACAAGTAAAGCCATATTACTAATTTGAGATCACATTCTTAAGGATATACGATGAAGATGAAAAGATATTTTGGAATGTGACAACAGTCCACTTTCAAGTTTTCTTTACTTCTTTCACTAACGTTCCATATTAGTAAGATATGTAAGGTCTATTAATAGTTCCCTCCGCTCACACAGCAATTCTTGATGCTGCTGAAGAGACAGCAGATCTAAAGAGGCGTAACACATATTGAACAAAGGGAAAGCATGAACAAAACAGTTGAAACTGAATTTGATATAATTTTAAGGAAAATTACTCCATACCTTCTTCTTTCTGATAACTTAGTAATCTACTAGGTCACAGGTGGCCTAATATCAGCCTGTCTATTTATGGACTGAGTCATGTTTGGAACTTTTGACCATAGGTCTTTCGCTGCTAATCCATAGGCACAGTTTGATTGCCAGAGATTTAACATAATAGTGTTTGTTATAACCACTATCAGTACTTGTGGTTTAAATTTGTTAATTTTATTAAATACTGGCTTTCTTGTAGTGACTGAAAGAGGTTTACATATTTATTTATTTAACAGTGTACCATCAAATAAGAGGATAGTGAATAATAAATTGGAAAGCATGTAGAAGGTACTAATTGAATGTACTATTCTGATATTTTCCTGGAGGAAATGAGGAAAACCATTAAACTCTGTCAGGATGGCCAGTCTCTGGGCCAAAATTTGAACCCAGGGCCTAACAATACGAAACAGGAGGGCTAACCGCTTGACCAAAATGTTCAGTACAATTACATGGTACAAGTATAAATTTGAAGAATATAATTAACATTTAATATTAGTTTGAATTTAGAAGGTTACATGGTTAGGTATGAATCTAATTATGGATGATACTAAGCTCCATTTGACATGATTTTCAGAGATACTAAAGAGTTAGAGTGTCTACTGCCCCAAGTAATATAAATTGTTTGCATTTTTTTAGCCACACTCCAGAACTGTTCAATGTACACACACACTGTACGCGCGCTCCCCCCCCCCCCCCTTCAAAAAACATTTCTTACCTGATGTTCCCCAGGAAAAAATTCCATAGGATCACTGAGAGTGAACTGAGTCCCACTCTGGTCACAAAATACACATGAAATCTGTTTTCATGGATGAGCCATGTCGAATGTTGTAGATTTTCCAGTGTTTTGGGAAACACATTGCATTTGCCATTTTTAGGGTAAATGTATACTGTGAAGGTCATGACTCGCAGAACAGAGGAGCAAGTTGCTGTTCAATCAATATTGCACACTTGGTTGAGGAAAGGAAGTCACAATAAAAAATTTTAAGAGCTGCATGATAATGAGAAGGAGTAATTAAGGAAGTTTTAGTGACAATGTGATTGGGAAAGGAGGGATGAAAGCGATTTAGCAACCACATGATTAGTAGAAGAGGTGACAGAAAAGTTTTAGTTACCATGAGGTCAGGGGAAGAGGTAATGGAAAAAGTCTTTTGACCACATGGTTAGAGACGTATGATTTGAGGTTTACACGGCAGTGAGTCTGAATTTGGCTGTCTTCTGGGTTGTTGCGCCATGTAGTTTGGTAGACATTTACCAACGTTTCATAGGTCCTTGCTGCTTCCATCATCAGGGCAATGATGGAGGCAGCAAGGACCTATATGAAACGTCGGTAAACATCTACCAGACCACACGGCGCAACAACCCAGAAGACAGTCACATTCATGGTTAGAAAAAGAGGTGCTGAGAAAGATTTCTGACTGCTAGTGGTTAGGAAAGATGTAATGAAAATTGTTTGGGGGGGAGAGGCTGTAATGTGGTCAGGAAAGGAAGTTCAGTAGTTGTTTAGTGAAGGAGATGGTTAGGTGGATGGCACCAGAACCAGCCACCAACATACTGTATATTCTCGTTACATTCAGAAACTGGATTTGCTACCATCTGAAATAAATATGTTCCCACCCCTGTTTTCTTCCTAAACACACAACAGGAAGGTGTGGTGTGTACACATTGCTGGTGCTAGCATGAGATGTAGTACAAGAAACAGTGCATCATATTCACTTCTAGCATTTGACATTCGAGTTAAGCAATCATATATGTTTGTTATTCCTCAGAACAGTTCAGAATTAAGTGGCAGTAATAACTTGATTGAAGTGGGAGTACTGTATTTTCTTTAAGTTTCTCAAGCAAATTCATACATTACTTTTAATTTGTTCATTCATTTGCAACAAAAAATTTCAAAAATATAGTTTTACAATGCTTGTCAGCATGTAAGATAGTAAGAACAGTAGAAAAGATTTTTAATAACATTTGATACTGGGGAGTTTACTAAAATGTCACCACATTCCAGTTTCAGTTACAAGTGGACAACAATAAGGCACACTATGGGTGCAAAAGAAAGCATGTAAATTTGCATATCCTAGGAACGATTCAAACTTGGAAACCCTGGCACAGCATAGAAAGATAGCACATATATGTGCTCTCTTCAAAGCGTACACGGAAGAACGGGCATGGAAGGCCATATTATCTGAGCAGGGTCGATCATATACGGAAAATTAGGAGCAGAAAGCAAAGGACTGATATCGGAAAATATTCCTTTGTGAACAGAACCATCCAACTCTGGAACCAGCTACCTGCGGATGTTTTAAGGACTCTCTCCTGTAAACCAAGTACTTTTAGGAAGAAAGTTAGAAAAGTGATAAATGAGGTGAAGTGAAGGGAATACATGGGTGGGTGCAGTGAAGGGAGGTGAAGGGAGGTAAATCGGGGTGAGGATGGGAAGGCTTCATAAGAGTAGTGAAGTGAAGAGAAGGTCCTGATGAAATGTGTAATTCCTTACTGTTACTGTCTTATGTCTAGTTGGTATTACTTTTTAAGTTATCTACTTTAGGTTATCTGTTGTGTTTAAATACTTGTGCCTTATGGTTTTGTAATCTTATGAGTTGTTTTATTTTGAGTGTGGTGTGTTGTTTTGTTGTGTCTTATTGTTTTGTTGTGTCTTATTGTTTTGTGTCTTATTGTAATACCACTGCCACAGGGTAAAAACCCATTTGCAGTTAATAATAATAATAATAATAATTCTCTTTTTGTCACAAGTGTAACTTGCACATAACACGCTAAATACTTATCAAAGTGAAAAATGATTTATACAAATGTAGAGAAGAATGAAACATTTTATGCCTAATACACTTATTTTGTAAATCCTACGGTTTTCCAGATAATTAAACAAGTGATTTTATGCTACGCAATACAACTCAATAACTGTTAAAGTAATCTTAATCGAATTATATACCAGAGGTACTTGCTCATTCACCCCAACTGTTCTATGCTATTATACAAGAGCATCAAATGTTAATGTTTGTGACTGCAAAATTAGAGGAAATTCCAACAAACTAAAAGCACCACAATTATTATGCATACATTTCCTGACCTATCTATTATGATTTGAGACAATCAATTTCACTGAAAATCAAGTTTCATTTCTTGTGAAATTTCAGGTTCTCATGGCCTATATTTGCATTCAATAATAATTTTAAAGTAACTCTAGGACAATTATTTGACTCCAACAGAAAATATATTTTTAATCAAATAAAGGGCAAAATATTGTTTGAAGATGACTGTCTTCTGGGTTGTTGTGCCATGTAGTCTGGTATACTACACTACACATTGCAACATCCCAGAAGACAATCACCTTCAAACTTGCCTCTGTGAGAACCTTAAATCTCACCTACTATAGTTAACTTCAATGATTCATACTTACAGTCCTAATTATCAAATAAATTAAAATTCCACTTAACTGAACACAGATCTTTTCAAAATAAATCTGCCAATTATTCCCCTGGTGTTCAAGATTATGCACATTAGTTTTCTCCAAACTGGTTTACTAAAACCCTTTCTAATGATGAATATGTGAACAGAAAGTGGTTACAATGCTGTAGGGGGGGGGTTTCCCATGTATGCTTTTCAACCAGCAAAGAAGATATTGCCTGGCAGGTCCAAAATTGGGGTTTAATTGGAAGCATTGATCTCCAAGAATAGCAAATCATGAAAATTCTCCAGAGTATTAATTATCTGAAATTGAAAGGCTCTTAATAAATAGATGTATAATGACAGTAATAACAGATGTAATTTTGAAGATTTCTGTCTTCTGGGTTGTTGCGCCGTGTAGTATGGCAGATGTTTACCAACGTTTCGGAGATCATCCTTCCTCCGTCATAAGGGCAATGAGTATGAAGATTCATCAATGAATCGCCCTGATGACGAAGGCAGTATAACCTCTGAAACGTTGGTAAACATCGACCAGACTACACAGCGCAACAACCCAGAAGACAGAAATCTTCATACTCATTGCTGTGAAAACCTCAAATCTTACATAGGTGTAATTTTATTTTGTGCAAATAATAACTTAGCAGGATTTGAGATTTTCATGACAGTGAGTAATATGGCTGTATTCTGGGTTTTAGCACTATGCAGTCTGGTAGAAGTTTGCCGATGTTTCAAAGGTCCTTGCTGCTTCCATCAT